TAAATTTAACTTTATTCTTAAAATTTTCAAGTAAGCAAAATATTTACATACAAGCCTCTTACATTTCCACCCCTCTCCAAATAATATTTACTATAGAAAATAAAATAAGCAATCACACGACCTCTTGTGAAAATAATAAAAGTTTAAAGGCTAAAAAGGAGATTTTTTACAAGTGAAGGAGACCAATGACATTGCACAGAAGTTGGGGGATGAAAAATGAGGGTTTAAACGCTTCTTTAAGATATATATAAAACCTAACTTTTGAGGTGACGGAAAACTGAGGAGAAAAAAGCATTTGCTGATGTGGAAACGGAAAACATGCATCTGGAAATCCTAAAACGGAGGAAAAAAATTAAGAGAGCAAAAACGGCGCGGAGAGTGCGCGAATGTAGCAAGCTGAGCGAGGAAGAAGGGATAATGCTTCAGAGGAACGAGAGCCAGTTTATAAAGCACGCGATTCCCTACTCCCAGCACCACCGTAGCCGTAGCTGCAATCGCCACTTCCACAGTCCGCTTTCTCTCTCTCGTCCTGCTATCCATCTCTTCCACACTCCGATCAACGACTCTCCGTTCCTCGAGTGAGTAAGAGCACGCTCCCGCCTTCTTCGCCACATCTCCGCCATCCGATCAACTGTCTTTCTCGTCTTCAATCTCTACAAAGTGAGCCTGGCTCCGCCGTCGTTTGAGGTGATCGCCGTCTATATTCTCTCTTCCCCTGCAACTTAGCTGTCGAATGGTCTTACTCTGTCGTCTCCATCTTCAATTTGTAAGCAGTTTTCTCTTAACCAGCATAAATCAATCAAGAACAAGAGAGTTAACATTTCATATTGGAATTGAATTACATAGATTTCTCATCAATTGAGAGTTACCTTCTAAAAGCCCTAACTTTTTCTCTTCTTCCTTCCTGAACCCAGAATCCATAGATAGAGGAACTCTCATTCTTCACTCTCAAACATGTTCTTCCACATAGTATTGGAGCGGAACATGCAGCTGCATCCGCGCCACGTCGGCCGCAACCCTCGTGAGAACCTCGTATAGAAGCTCATGAAAGATGTCGAGGGCACTTGCAGGTTTTTCTCTTTTTATTTTTATTTTATTTTATTTTAGTAATCAATTTCATTTGTTTGATTATTTGAGAGATAAATGCTAGTGAATATGCTTAAAATTCTCTGCATCTCATCGTCAATCCTTTCATTGTGACAACCAGTGTGTTTCGGCAGCTTCGTAATCCAACACTGTTGAAGTCCTCAGCTGCTTCTACACCTGAAAATCCCGAGGTTGTTTCCTCGGGGAAAACACTCCAA